CATGTAGAGTAATTATACCCACAAACTAAACACAATCATGTAGAGTAATTATACACACAAGTATACACAATCATTTAGAGTAATTATACAACAAACTAAACACAATCATCTGGAGTAATTACACCCACAAGTATACACAAACTAAACACAATCTTCTATAAAAAACTATACCCACAAACTAAACACAATCTTCTAGAGTAATTATACGCAAAAGTATACACAAACTAAACACAACCATCTAGAGTATCTATACCAACAAACTAAACACAATCATCAAGAGTGATTATACTCGCATATTAAACACAATCATCTAGAGTAATTACACCCACTAACTAAACACAATCATGTAGAGTAATTATACCATCAAGTATACACAAACTAAACACAATCTTCTATAAAAAACTGTACCCACAAACTAAACACTATAATTTAGAGTGAATATACCCACAAACTAAACACAATCATCTAGAGTAATTATACCCACAAACTAAACACAATCATTTAGACTAATTATACCCACAAACTAAACACAATCATTTAGACTAATTATACCCACAAACTAAACACAATCATCTGGAGTTATTACACCCACAAGTATTCAGAAACTAATCACAATCATGTAGAGTAATTATACCCACAAGTATACACAATCGTCTTTTGTGTATACTTGTTGGTATAATTACTCTAGATGATTGTGTTTAGTTTGTGGGTATAATTACTCTAGATAATTGTGTTTAGTTTGTGTATACTTGTGGGTATAATTTCTCTAGATGATTGTGTTTAGTTTGTGGGTATAATTACTCTAGATAATTGTGTTTAGTTTGTGTATACTTGTGGGTGTAATTACTCTCTACGATTATGTATACTTGTGGGTATAATTACTCTACATGATTGTGTTTAGTTTGTGAATACTTGTGGGTGTAATATCTCAAGATTATTTTGTTTAGTTTGTGAATACTTGTGGGTGTAATAACTTAAGATTATTGTGTTTAGTTTGTGAATACTTGTGAGTGTAATAACTCAAGATTATTTTGTTTAGTTTGTGTATACTTGTGGGTATAATTACTCTAGATGATTGTGTTTGTTTGTGGGTATAGTTATTATCTAAACACAATCTTCTATAGTAATTATATCCACAAGTATACACAAACTAAAAACAATTATCTATAGTAACTATAACAACAAACTAAACACAATCATCTAGAGTAATTATACCAACAAGTATACACAAACTAAACACTATCATCTAGAGTAATTATACCCACAAACTAAACACAATCATGTAGAGTAATTATCCACACAATCATCTAGAGTAATTATACAACAAACTAAACACAATCATCTGGAGTAATTACACCCACAAGTATACACAAGCTAAACACAATCTTCTATAAAAACTATACCCACAAACTAAACACAATCATTTAGACTAATTATACCCACAAACTAAACATAATCATCGAAAGGAATTACACACACAAGTATATACAAACTAAACACACTCATGAGGAGTAATTATACCCACAAGTATACACAATCGTCTATAGTAACTATACCCACAAACAAAACACAATCATGTAGAGTAATTATACACACACAAGAATACACAATCGTCTATAGTAACTATACTCACAAGCTAAACACAATCATCTAGAGTAATTACATCCACAAACTAAACACAATCATCTAGAGTAATTACATCCACAAACTAAACACAATTATCTAGAGTAATTATACCCACAAACTAAACACAATCATCTAGAGTAATTATACACAAACTAAACACAATCTTCTATAAAACTATACCCACAAACTAAACACAATCATCTATAGTGTGCTGAAACATTTTAAAATTATGGATAGTTTATACAGTAAATCATGCATGCTGAAACAGTTTAGAATTATGGATGGTTCATATAGTAAATCATGAGTGCTGAAACAGTTTAGAATTATGGATAGTTCATATAGTAAATCATGAGTGCTGAAACAGTTTAGAATTATGGATGGTTTATATAGTAAACCATGTGTGTTGGAACAGTTTAGAATTATGGATGGTTTATACAGTAAATCATGCATGCTGGAATAGTTTAGAATTATGGATGGTTTATACAGTAAATCATGTGTGCTGGAACAGTTTAGAATTATGGATGGTTTATACAGTAAACCATGCATGCTGAAACAGTTTAGAATTATGGATGGTTTATACAGTAAATCATGAGTGCTGAAACAGTTTAGAATTATGGATGGTTTATACAGTAAATCATGTGTGTTGGAACAGTTTAGAATTATGGATGGTTTATACAGTAAACCATGCATGCTGAAACAGTTTAGAATTATGGATGGTTTATATAGTAAATCATGAGTGCTGAAACAGTTTAGAATTATGGATGGTTTATATAGTAAATCACGTGTGCTGGAACAGTCTAGAATTATGGATGGTTTATTCAGTAAATCATGTGTGCTTGAACAATTTAGAATTATGGATGATTTATATAGTAAATCATAAATCAATGGATAACCTTGCTTTTAACATTAAAATTTTATGGATTTAAAATATACACCTGGAAAAAAGTTAAGCACCCCCAAATATTTTTCAGGATTGCTTATTGAAAATAAGGT